TTATCGTTTAAGCGTCGTAACTATTATATATCGACCGCAACCTATTTTACGATGAAACGGACAGCACCTCCCCTATTTATATGTATTCTCATAAGTCAAGACAATCACCAAACAGCCCAAACAACATCAACAATAATCATATTGAGCCTCCCAAAATAGTCCACCAACCAACAACATTACTACCAAGCCTTTCGATATATATTTCACAAGTTCTAGCTTCAACGACTTAGCCGCAACTTGAATAATCTTAAATACATGTAGAGTAAGAGGTTCCTTACCTTTAAATGGAAAGAACAACTCCAATTTGACCTTAATTATCCACGAAATTTTCCTCCAATTCTGCCATAAGAACAAGGAAGCGAAACTAGCAATCGATTCGGATTTTTCGGCACTAGAATTACTTTAGAAGACTTGAAATCACCTAGAGTTGATATTAAAAACTTGAGGGAGTATTTACAGAACATAAAACACTTAAAACAACCTCCCATATGAGCTGGAACAATACAAAAATCAGCAACAACAAGAAGAACAAGAAACTTACTAGCGCCACGGGATTCCCGACATTTGATTTGTGTTGTTTGCCCTTTGTTTGGGTCTTGGATCATGAGAGAACCTTGAGAGAGTGTTTTTAGGGTTCTAAGGTCTGAATATACTGAAAAAGAATGACTTAAAACGGGGTTGAGGCATCTTTTATATATCCATATGTCTTAAACCGCCTATGTGAGCCCCATAGAGAGTTGCTTGGCGCAGTCTCGCAAAAACGCGAATATCTCTCTATTCCGAGATCGTATCGACAAATGGTTTAATGCGTTGGAAACTAGACTCATAGATCTTCAATTTGGTGGGTAGATCACCCCATAATTCCAAGTACATTGGGAGAAAAATGTAGTAACATTTGACCTAAAGTTTAAGTAAAATTATAAATGTAAGTTGCGACAACTTTTATCGACTTTTGTTTCATAACTCGCTTGACTTCAAGACTTATGATACGGATATTATATTATTCAAATACATTAAAACATGACCTCTTGGGACAATTAAAAACCTCTAGTTTTACCCGAAAATACGGGTTACAATATCCTTGATTCGTTTAACTTCTAATACTTGTTAACCACTCTTATACACCCTTGTATCGTTTAAGATCAATAGGATTAACTTATCATCTCAAAGATAATCTCTTCTTGGATTTATGTCGACTAACTTACGGCGTGATCTAAGGTACGTGAATTTGGGTTGTAACAGTATCACTAGTAAGAGAATGAAATTTACGAAAAAAACTACAATTACAAAGTTCTTCTATCAATCTTGAAAGAATTTAGCTTTAAAATGTTTGCCTTAGAGTTTAAATCTTTATACGTTTAGTTATGAATTTATTAATAATGTATTAGCTTTTTCTTTAATATTTAACTAATGAAGTATGCATATATTTTGAGATTTTAAATTTGAATAACTTTTTTTTAATCTTTTATATGTAACATTAAAAGAGAAAAAAAATTAATTTTTGGATAATTTTTATCTATAACAGCTAAAAAAATATTTAAACGGCAAAATATGTTATATGTGTATAACAACAATACAGAGAGGGTTGACTGTATATACACGTATATGTACAGTTGATTTTTCTTTTCGAATAGTTGTTTTTACGATTTTGCATCTATTATGCCTACGGAGTACTATCGCAAAGTCTCTTTTCTCACGAGTATGGCTCTTTTGCCATCTTAAGATACTAATTAAAGAGAAGTATTCTACGTAATAAAAAGTTGGAGCTTTTGGCTACACATTTACGAAAGGGAAACGTAATGTTTAATGCTTTTTAAACTAAGAGTTGAGATTAAGGAAAGGTGCAAAAGTGCGTTGAAATTGAGCTTTTGAAGTTCTTTAGTCTGATTTAAGTCCCAAAAGTAACATCCAGAGCTACTTTAGCTGCAGTCTACAATTTCTGGGAGCGTATATAATAAATTTAGAACACATAATCATACATTATTTATATATACAACAAACGTGAAAATTTGTTTTCTTTAACTGCAACTAAATTTGGAAGATCCACCGTTACCGATTACACGAAAGAAAACAGCAGTTGTTAATGGGCATTGAATCCAAATGGACCGGCCCACATTTTGCAATGTAGAAAAAGTTCAGTTCAGCCCATTATCTATGGGCTCTCCTGACTGTAAAACATGGGTAAAATTCACAAATAGCCACCTTTTAAGCTTTATAACAGTGACTATTTTTCAATTACAAGGCCGAAAAGTGACAAGTGGGTGCTTTCTCTACGTTTAACATTGATTCTTACTGAATTTCACTTTCATTTTATTTATTTATTTGCATATTTTTGTGCTATATGAAAGTTGTTTTGAAGTAATTGATCTTGACTGCACAGTGATTTCTCTGCAAAAAAATGTATTTAATTCGTCATCGTGTTAGCGGGAACAATAAGATATACATCCCAGTTACTCTCAGATTACTGCCTAAAAATTTGTTGGGGGGCGATTTTTTTTTTCTTTTGTTTTTTTTGCCTCTGTACATTCAGGAAATGATGATTAGTAAGTGGAAACTCTAATCCGTAGACCATTTGGTGCTTCAACTCTTGGAAATTTCATCAGTTTATCTCCTCCTACTTCTTCCCATTTGTATTTTGTAACGAAGTAATGAAGAAATGTAGAAATTTCTGCTACTCCAAGTTCCTTCCCAGGACATTGTCTAGTACCTCCACCAAATACCAAGAACGAATTTTTGTTTTCCAGGCTCTTATCCTGCAATTAGCAACAAAAATATTTGTTAATTCCAATTAAAATTAATTTAAACACAATTCTTTTTTTTTTTTGTCGCGCAATTAATGTATACTTACCAGCCATCTCCATGGATTGAATGCAAAAGGATCAGGATAAAGCCTTGGATCATAATTCAACTCCCTCGTGTATACGTATATTCTCCATCCTTTAGGAATAATGTATCCTAAAAAAATACACATTAAAATTAGAAAATAAGACCAACTATTTTATTTTTAGAATATTTTTTATGATAGGAAATAATAGTGGAGGAATTATACTATTTTCTTTTTCATAAAAAGTTTACAGATTAGAACTACTCATTAAGACGACATATGGGTCATGAGGGGAACTGTATAGGCTGGAATGGTAGGTGTGCCATGTGGATCGTGGTATTATAGGGTCCATAACAAAAAGATGATCATATTGTATACATCCACCGTTATTTTAATGAGTCTATAAATTAGAAGAATATTTAGTCTTGCACCTGATGCCCATAATTAAAGCAAACACTCAAAAAATAATACTACAAATAATAATATGCATGAGATTTTACTTAGAATTCTTACCATTTATTTCCATGTCTTGAGTTGTTTTCCTTAGAACCCCATTTACGATTGTTGCTAATCTGGAGGTTTCAAGGATCACCTGCACCACCAAAAAACGTATAGATTCAATATGCTGATATTCAGTTGACAAACTCTCTCATCTAAATTAAAATTTTATTTTATATACAGTAACAATGCCGTAATATTTATTTATGTGCAAACTTGTTCCAACTATTACTAACAACTTCTTTTAAGTGATCTGATCGTGTAAAAATTCTTGTTCACGATTAATGTAAAGAAGGAATCAAAATAACGTAGACACTTACAGCTCGAGTGAACCGCATTGCCTTGTAATCGTTGTAATCAATAGGATCCTCCGGTTTTTTCTTTTCTCTAATTGCCAAGTGTTCTTTCTGTAGAATTAAAAATTAAGGTAATTAATAAATATAAAAAAAACAGTAAATGTAGAAAATTAAGTGCTAATTAAATCTCTGCTTTTGGGACTTACTCTTAGTTCTTCAAGAACTTTGGGATGATCATGAAGATATTTAACAGCCATCATTGAAGTAGTGGAAACAGTTTCATATCCAGAGTACAAAATGGTTATGATTAAATCAATCATCTCATCATCTGTTAATTTGTATCTATTTGCTTCTTCATTCATAAGGTAACCAAGCATATCGTGTTGGATTTCTTTTGAAGCTCTTCTCTCTTCTATTAGTGTCCTTAGTAGGCTGACAATAATTTTCCTTGCCTGAGGAAACACAATTTATAATTTAGATTCCTTCCGAACTTTTCATAATTACAAAGTATAGTTATAAAGTTTTAATACAATAAAATAGTTCCGTGACTTTACTGTTATATAATAAGTAAATTTACCTGCAATCCACGACCGTAGTTGGTGTTGGGAAGGTTGATAGGAAGTGAAAGAGTCCCTAGAACTAGCTTGAAGAATTCAGGCATGAATTCTTGAGCTAAAGAGGTAGATTCAATCCCAGCAATTTGCTTCAACGATGAAAGAAATGCCATCTGAGGAGAAAAAAAAAGGAGAAAGTATTAGCAAAAGTTAGATTCAAAGCAGAGAAAAAACAGAGATTTTTCTTTAGATAGTAATTTATTTAGACTGACCTTATTGGTTTTTTCTTGAATGTCAATGACTTTGTTATCCCAATTGGTCAAGTGGGATCTCATAAACTCATCAATTTTAGGCAAAAGTTGGTCTCTGATCATAGTAGGGCTAATAAGAGATAACAATGCACCCCTCATGTACTTGTGAGCAGAACCATGTACAGCTGCAATATTGCATTTTCCTAATATGTCTAACATCGACTGTGGATATCCTGGGACCAGTCCTTTTGCCTCGTTCACCAATATGTATCTATTTAACTCTGAATCCATTGATACTATTGTTGGACACCCAAGTATGTGTGATTTGAAAAAACTCCCAAATCTGGTACCAAAAAAGCAAATTCAAATAAATAAAACTCATATAGAAATTTGACAAGAAGTCATGTTCATGTACAAGGTCCGTGTTAGATAGCTACTTAATTTTTCATTTTTTTATACTTAGTGAATTAAAGTGGAAGGTAAAAAAGTTGTACCTGGCTCTTTGGTTTTTCATGAAGCTTGGGCCTAGCTTAAGAAATTCTGTAGTCTCACCAAAAAGTGGCCAACCCATAGTACCAGGAGGCAAGCTTTTGTTGTTATATTTGACCTGATTCCATCTCAATAAAGCAGTACTAAAAATGCACAGCCCAAAAAAGAAAGCAAGAAAAACTAAGAAGAAAGCCATTGATGCAGCTACCAATGAAGTTCCAACCACCTCACAGACAAAGTCTAAATGGTATGGACTTCCTTTAGTTCTGAGAATTTTAAGTCATAATAGCTGGCCAAGCGTGTGCTGTGTTTATATAGACTGTCGTAGATGAGGAGGAGATGGGTTTTGGAGTTAAAAAGGACCGAGGGACCACCAAAGGTTGTGGTGCCATGGTTATTTTCGTCGTCTTTAATTAGAAGTCTCGCATTCAAAAATTTTAAAAGAAAATACTTTTTTATAAGGAGTGTATACCCTTTTATGGACGTAGATAGAGGCGGAATCAGAATTTGAGGCATATTGATTCATGGTTCAAGTCCTTTTAAATTACTAGGTTCTAACTTAATAATTTGTGCATATTTAATGAATTTATTAAGATAAATATAAGGTTTGAACCAAAACTATCGTGTTCGGCCAAATGAAGGGCCGGCTCCGCCCCTGCTCGTAGAGACGGATTCAATATTTTAATTTAATGAATTTAATCTTTAACTTCTTATCATTGAACTCATTATATCTTTAAAATTATGAATTTATATTTATTATTTATTAAAATTTTAAATATTTTTATATAAATTTTACAATGCTTAGGTTCTCCTTCCACCCCTGCTTACACGTTGCAAATTTTGATTAATCGGGCAAATAAGCTTTGTGCAACGAATGCCAAACTTGAAAGAAAAAAAAATATGATGAGGGAGTTGAGCCCCGAAATAGAGAACTTATTGATAAGAAATGTTTTATCCTTACCGTCCGACGCGAATTCTAATTTGTTAAATCGAAATCTTTGTATAAAGGATAGCTAAATTAAAAAAAAAAAAAAAAAAAAAGGAAAAAGACGGGGGAAGTTGTGGGGGTGGTGGCCTAATACGCCAAAACCCCACGCCCTACACTGTAAAGTGGTCTCTGTTCGCAGCCTCGGGTAACAAAAACTTCATAAATGGCAATGTCTTTTACTGCAGAGTAACTTTTAGTACTTCTGTTTCATGCAAACATATTGACTTTTAGGTGGCTAGTCAAGATCTGAAGAGCTCCTTGTTTGCAACTTTTTTTTATTTCATCTATGACCACCGACTCCTTTTTGGTTATTAGCCATTTGTTTAACAAGAAAGAATTTGCCTGGCCTGGCAATAGTTTTTGTTTTTATCCCTTGAGTGGTGTGGATGTTGATTGTTAAAACGGATGAAAACAAAGTAACTATATTCAGCTGCACTACTTAGAATGATCCTTTTTTCCCTAATCATTAGGGTATTGATGTATATTTTTCAATGAAGAAAATGACTTTAAACTAATGAAGAATTATAAATACTTAAGTGAAGAAAGCACATGCATTCCACCCTATTGGAGGTAGAAGGAAAAAGAGGCACTCAAAAACTAAGTGGTTCACATGTCCATCAAATAGATCTGCTGCCTAAGGGAATTACTTAAGTCGCTACAGGACACATTCTTGGTTACCATGTGAATAAGTGGACACTGGACACACAGAGGCTAGGGCTAAGAAAATATACATGAAACACGTTCGGCTGAATCTAGCATTTTTTGTACAAAAATATTATGTGTAAAAAGGACAAAATTCCTATAAATGTTAAGTGATAAACTCTTAATTGCAGAAGTGTTATCGGTTAAGTTGTGTGAACATAAACGTTAAACTCATCAAGTTTAAACGTTAGATCAAGAATCCGCCTCTGGACACAGAAGGACGAAAGGCATGGGTGGGTATGGGGTGGGCTAGCAGTTTTCGTTGCATCCTTACTGCAAGTTTGAAATTCCTAGACTGAATACTGTAGTAGTGTCTGAACCTCTTGACTGTAATAACTAGAAGACTTTCTTGTGACATTTGAACTTTGGTACTCCTGTTTTCTCATTTAAACTTACTGATTTCTTATCTTGATAATATCTTAAATTTGAAGAACTTTTTGGACATTTCAGTATGGAGGCAAGCAATTATGAAAGGGAAAAGGAAAGAAAAGTAATGCCTACTGTTACTTTCTTTCTAATTAGTGTTAATTCACTAATAACACGATAAGATTGGATGCTTGCTATTGAATGAGATAAACTCCCACCCTAATCACATCAAGTGACTTGGAAATAACACAAATTCCGACCATTACGTTCATGTCAAATCTGAATGCATTTAAGGATGTTCCATATGCAATGATTTAGAAATAATTACTAATGCTTCTCCTGTATAAATGCACCAAATCTCATATTCAAAGAAAAAAAACTAGTTATGAAAACAACAGTTTAACAAACCTTCAACAGGACACAGCCAAAACTATCAATGTGAGATACTGAGATTTATATTCACAGTCCAAGATTTGTTATTTATGAATAGTTAAGGGAAAACGAGTTCCGAGCTGACGAGGCCAAGCAATAGCAGCATTGCACTTTCTGTATTTTATGTCAAATCCAGTTACCTATGTGATTAAATGTTTTGTCACATTGCTCGATGAATCTTTTAACTTTGACTGAAACTCACAGCACACGTGCGTCTGGATTGTTGGACAATGGGTTTGAATTTTGGAAACCAAAAAGAAGAAATTATGTACTCCTATAATAAAGATTCTACCTACACCCTCGAGCTATTTAGGGTTGGGAGTATCTCAAATCCCCAACGAAAAACATTTGGCTGTGAGCTGGGTTAGTAGAGACCTACAGAATCCTTGACTAACCTATTTTTTTTTTAAATCCGATATTTAAAATTTTCTGAACTGGATTAATTCAAAGTCACAGTGTGTAAGTGATTATTAGTAGAGGAAACATTAATTTCTTATCACAGGTTTTTCAATTGCTACGACTCATACCCGAGACAATTCTATTTTGAAGTGTAGAAATCCATCCCACTATACTCTTTTGGGCTAATGGTCACTAGATTTTAGTTTCACTAAACTATTTTTTTATAACGAAAAAAATACTCAACTTTATATAAGTATAAGGAAAGTCATTAGACGATTTTTGTTTAAAAAAAACGTCACTCAATTATTGTAACCATCGCAGAATATTATTAGGAGAAAACAAATGAGACATATTTTATGATATTTAGGCAAAGTTGAATGAATTTTCGATAATAAAAAGATTATTTAATAACTGTAGGCAAAGTAGAATAATTTTGATGCAAATAAATTAAAAGTTGAAAAATCTCTCTTTTGGTGGTGGCCATATATTCAAAAGCACGTTATGATTTTCAATCAGTGAACATAGAGTATCATTATTTGATTTGTTTTGTTATACGCATTCACTGTCTAAAGTGTGCATCAACCCCTGCGTGTACGATTAATAAAACTAAAACTAACTTAGCTCCTTGTATTTGAAACTTCGTTATCTTACAGCTAGTGGCACCATTTGTAGAAACAAAGTTTGTGATTCAAATTAGTTATTCATATCGAATGTAGTCTTAAAAAGACCAAACAGCTTACTACGTCTGTTACATGTCATTATCGTACAATTATGTATCTTCAAATCGTTACACGTCATTAGTGATTCAAAAAAAGGAAAAAAAAATGGATGATAAGGATATGATAATGATAATTTAATCACTTATATGTTGCTCCAAATTAATTGCAATGTCCAAAACAAAGCTGCAAGCGTGGAGAGTTGCTATCCAATAAAACATAAAGCTAATTAAATGGAAACCATACAAATGAAAATCAATATAGGTGAGAGACCGTACACAAAGTGCGTACATGAACGACTAGTCTAATCAATAGGTGAGAGTGAGATTATTATGGATTGCAAAAGAGAGATGGATATGTATTTTTGTGAAATTTTTTCTAAATTAATATTGATTCTCTACTACTCCTATCATTTTGTTTATTGACTTTGTGCTGAAATTGATGGATTGTCTTGGTGTGGCACAAAAGGCTGATTGGGATTGTGACTTGAAGAAAAATGTAGATCCTTAGAGAGATCCTTGGATAGGGATTTGACAATATGATGCGATTTCCCCCAACCCCTCCTCTCCCTAATCTTTTCTGCAAATTTTTGAAAGTAATTTCAAAGGTACTATTTGCTTATTTCAACTGGCCCATTATTCTGTTTTCCCTCTTTTCTCATATAATTTTTGAGAAGCGGTGGACCTGCAATTTAATAGGTGGAAATAGAAAATTAGAGAGAGAATATTGATATTAGTAACAACGCAGACACTCTTCTACAAATGTATCATCAAACATACACACCCATTTTTTTAAAATTGACGATGAATTTGGAATAAAAAATAAAGTTTTAGAACCATTGCAGTCCCAATTTAAACTACATATAAGCCGAGTTGTAATAACAAATCCATATCATTTGGACAGATAGAATCCCATTTAATCACACTACTTATTTCACTAAAATACAAGGGGTGTCAATGGATATTTAAACACCGATTAAATCGATCGAACCGAACCGAACCGTACCGTACCAATTTTTTGGTTTCCTTTAATAAAATCATAGGTTTTTATATAAATTTATAACCGGACCGATAATTAGGGTAAAATACCGAACCGTACCGAATAAATTTACATGTGAAAATTATATTTACATATTAAATTTAAAAATAATAAAGCATTAAATTTTTCCTTGGGCATTGGAATTATGAAACGGTTACAAGCCAACATGTAATTAAACTCAAAATCCTAATTCCCAAACTATTATGCTACTCTTATTGAAACTAAATTATTTTCAGCATATTCACTAGCAAGACACAAGGTATTCCGGCAATTATAAGTGGCAAAGTACAATGTATTGAATATGTTTCCATTTTGAATATTTAATCTTCTATAGACTTTATTCTTGAGTCTATAGAAGTATTGCTTATGCTTTCTTGAGCCGATAGTCTATTGGAAACAGTCTCTCTATCCTCACAAGGTAGGGGTAAGGTCTACGTACACACTACCCTCCCCAGACCCCACGTTGTTGTTGTAGACTTTATTCTTGAGTCTCAGTTTGGTTAATATCTTTCCACTCGTTGATTTATATTTTTTTTTATCTTTGCTTAGTTTCTAGGCTGCTATAAAATAGTTGATGAATATATACTCTGGTCATCTTTCATGTTTTCTTATTTCTTCACCATTTAAACATAAAAATATCTTGAAAATTTTGCTAAGTCCCATAAA